AGTTTTGACATAATTGTGAATTATAAAATAAATAAATAAATAAATAATAATTCTGTGACCATTTAAATATATATTTCGACAAATTTTATTGCATACACAATTCTCATGAGCTAAATATTTGTTTTTAATTGGTTTCAAATTTGGGTACTATTCCGTTTTGAGGACCGTAAAAAAATCACCAAACTATTGTTGATGCCAGAGCTGCCAAAAATAACTGCGGCAACCCTAACACAAAGGAAGTATAATAGTAAATAACTATCCTAGATTATTATTTTAATTTAGATGAAAGGTTAATTTCATATAATACTTTTTTATTATTGTAATTTATATAAAAAAGGATAAATATAACTGAATGGAAGCATAAGAGTCAATAACTATTTCAGATCATTATTATAATTTATATATAAAAAAAGGCTAAACATAACTGAATGGATTCCTGAATCGCTATTTCTCTACCGCGTTATCGCTAAAGCATAATTTCATCTCGTTGGTTCTTCAAACATAATTTTTTATCATGGATGAGGCGTTTTCTTTGAAAAAATTCTATTGCAGCCTTTTTCCTCATGGGCAATTCCCAGATTGTTAAATCCATAGGATATCAAAAAAGGATTTAAAAATTAAAGTAGTATTTCAATGGCGTCTCAAGAAATATAGAACTATCTAAACTTATGCAATTAGAAATCAGCGCGTACGCTAGATTTGGGGCGCGTTTGCTAGATTTGGCGCTTTTGTGCATACATTTTCGCTGCAATTTTTTACAGTCCTCAAAACGGAATAGTACCCAAATGTGCAACCATAAAACCAAAAGTTATACAAAATTTTACATTCATTACATAATATATAAAAACAAATATTTAAGAAAATGAATAATTGTCTTCCTTAAAATTTCTAGGGAAATATGTTTTTAATATCATGTTTGGTTTTGTTTTATAATACCCTGGAAATATTCAACACAGAATAAATAAAGCTTAATGTTAAGAAAAAACGTACTTAGCAAAAAAAATCCATTATACATTTCTTAAAATATTTCCAAGATTACTCTATTAGACCAAAAAAATATCTCTCCATTAAGTTAATAATAAATAGTAATAAGTATCTATCTATTAAATAGATAATAAAATATAACACAGATTTCAATTTGCTTTCACAGATATCAAAGTTAAAATTTCATGTATTTTAAAAACTACTGCAGACTTCAAATATTATACATATATGCCAGAAATACTACAAATTTCTACGTGCCCATGTATGAAGAAATAATACAGGAATAATTTCGCATATCTAATGTATTTTTTGAACAGATTGATTAGCTTTAATGTATGAATTTATAACGGTAAACATAAGCTCTGGCATATTATAACACAAAAGAGAAGAGATTAGTATTTATAGAACTTCCCATTAAATCATTAAATATTGATTAAATCCGTAGCTATAGTAATAGCAATAAGAATTTCTTGTAAGAATTACGTTTTCATTTGTTGTATAACGTGAAACCAGAACTACATTCTAAATACAATAATCGTACTTTAAACGCAATTTCAGGGGTTTAAAACCTCACAGACATCTTTATTTTAAAAATAAAATGAAAAATTGTATATATTGCAATAATAAATTATTTTACAAAATTTAAGGAAAGGCTAAAAACATACCTTCTTCTTCTTCCTGAAGTTTGGCTTCCCTTTGGCGCCTTATGCTCCAACTCAAAATAAAGTTATTTACAAATTAAACCATAAGGACGCATTCCCTCCAGTTCAGGGGGGAACGTCGGTCCGAAAACCAAACCCTTACACTAAAAGTGCTTCAGAATTCTTTAAGATGTATTTGATGACAAAATTTGCCTAAAAAATAATATCTCCAAGGTTTCTTATTACAATGATTTAAAAGATCAGCTAAGAGGTCAATATTGCTGGTTTTCATCTTGAGCATAATGTTTCTGGCGCTATCGTACTTTGTGCAGTGAATAACTGCATGTTCTGTAGTGTCAATCGTATAACATGAGTCACAAAATGGCGAATTCGCTCTACGAAAACATACCTTACAACTTTGAAACTGCAGTTAAATTAGCCGCTTGGATGCTGACGCCAGTTCGTCCGCAGCAAGAACATTTAGTTATCTTTTGCTGATATGAGACGATGTAAATATAGCATAAAATAAAAGGCTAAGTTATAGAACAGAAAATAATTTTTTTATGAATGATTTGGGGATCTTCCAGGAGAAACTTTGGTGGTGCTGGCTTCTTTGAGGCACTGAATGAAATCCAAGTTTCACATTAAGATCACTGAATGAAACTACTGAGAAGCATATGCAGAATATGGGATGAATGAAAACCAAGCGTCTAGTGTTTTTGTTGTCGTGTTAAAGCCTATTCAAACACTGCCACGGTTTATTCAAATAGGGCTAGATGACAGCCCTAGCAATCTACAAAATATTATCAGGATAGAGATTCTGTCTCTTAAATTTAAAAAACCCCAAATTTTAGCAATTCAGCAAGGATGGTCGAATAATCAAAAATGTGTGTAGTTGTCAGTTCTGTGTCCTGACAGTTATCACAGTTCCTGTAGTTTTTCCTATCCTTTCTGTCAATTTTCAATGCTCTGAGATGACCAGTTTGAAGTTTGACAATAATTTTAGATATAAGTCAATCTATTGATGTTATTGTGTACTTATCAAAGGCACCCCATAAGGCGGCCCAAACTAGGAGCCTGACTACGATACCAAAGGGCCCGGGTACGAATTTTGAAGAAGGCATGGATATATATGTCTTCCACTTCATAGAAAATAGCGGAGCCGTCTATTAGGTGCCTCCGCAATAAAATGGCCGCCACTTCTAGCCTTAGGAGTGGCATTAGGCAAGTACTCGCCATTAAAAAAAAGGGATACTCCATAAACATCAATAGAGATCGACTTCTTTATTGGATACTTGCTTTATTTGAAGATTGTCTGGATGCCTTTACTGGATATTTAAGCTTTTACTGGATGCTTTATTTGAACTGAAAGTTCTTTCAATGTGTACTTTTAACTATAGCATTTGCCTCCGAGAGGCATTTACGTTACTATTATTGTTGAGATTTCAAGCCATTTTAGCAGTTTACCTGCGTTCTCGTTCAAAATAGATCTCGCTGGTTTGGTTTGGTTTATTTAACTATGGCAAAGCACACTAGGGCTATCTGCCTAAGGGGAGGGATGGCTTCTTGGAGGACTGTCTAAGGGAAACTAGCTCGTATACACTTACACATGGGAAAAACCACGAAAACGCCCATGCAGCCAGCCCGTTCGCGGGATTCGAACCTCTGTCCGAACTACCAGTGTTCAGTGACTTTACGGCTCGGCCGCTGATGGGCCCCAAAAATAGTTCTCGCAACCTGGGATATTTCCGTTAGCATAATAAAATATCCATACCCTTAAAGGAGAAACAGGTCATTATGCCTTTACCTTCTTGCCTCCGGGGCGCTGCGATCACCGAGGCAAGCGGCTGCACGTTCGCAGCGCTCCGTAAAAAAGTGAAAACAATTCCTTTCCCCTTGGTGATTATCAATTAAATTACTTTGAAATAGTGTTTTTTCTACAAAACCTATATCTTTTCAAAGAATTTTCGCTCCGATGTTGCCGAGAATAAACAGCGGACAATGTGAGGATGTACTACGAAAGCCTGGAATTTTAAGATAAGTACTTTTCTTTCATCTAAAGTAAATTAAATTTCTATAAATAAGTGCCTTTAAATCAATAAATTAAAATTTTTCATCAGTTTTTAGAATTAAAAAATACTTGAAATTAATCATTGCTTGTGGCTTTCTTTGTGAATCATTTCCAAACAGACGCCAACATTATCAGTTCACGTCTGTCACCACGTACAAAGCCCCCCTTATCTTGCTTTGAGGAATCTCTTGAGAGGGAAAATTGGGGCATCGCGCTATTTCCCTCTCGGATCTTCTGGATTCTCTTTTTTTTAGATCGCTTAAATATATTTTCGCCTTTAAATAATATTATACCTCACCGATTTTTTCTCATACTGTTCCTTGCTATCTGTTAAATGTCCATAAGTAAGGGATGGTTTATTCCTCACTGCCTTAAATAAATTCTTAGAACTATGAGCTTATATAAATAACGGTATGCCTCATTGTGTTACTATTGTGCATTAATTAACTAGTAATAAATTATGATAGTAAAATGATTAATCTTGTAATAAATTATGATAGTTAAATTAATAAATACTATGTTTAATTTGTGTTTTTAATACATATACTCATATATATATATATATATATATATATATTGTGTGTGTGTGCGGTTGTGGTCTTGTATTGTATATGGTTCTATGTTGTTTGTCTGCTGCTGTTTTTTGAAAAATGTATGAAAATGTTGGAAACGAAAATAGCATAAGTTACTTTAGTTAAATTAATATATACTTTTGATTGATGACTTTTGTTGATATCTCAGAATGCAAGCATACATATTACTTTGTATTCTATGCTAAATACCTTGATACGAAGCACTTTAACATCGTCAATATTCCCCCCCCCCCCCAGTAACACATCTATTCACCATTACCAAACACACTCACCACACACACACACACACCTGTGAGACACTATTTATTGTAAATGAAGACAGATTCTTTTCCTTTTAACTACAATCATGGACACAATCGTATTTTAGGATATTTTCTTCTTCTTTTCCTTTTCTTTCTATAGGCCCTTTTTTTTTTCCCCTCTATTATTTTTGGGCCATTTATTTTAAATTTTATTTTGTCTCATCTTTATTTCCTGGCCTTTTGAACTCGTACAAAATGTGCAAAGTTCCTTTTTACTCTCCTCAAATACGAAATTGCCGCCTATTCTTCACATCTATGCCTAATTTTTCGCCAATCGGTGCAGAAAGACTTAGCGGGTGCAAAACAAGACATCTGTCTACTTTGTCTGTCTCTGTCTGTCCTTCTTGCCTCCAGGAGAAATTTTTTTGCAGAGCACTTTATTTTCTGATCTTTTTTTTTTCTGTCAGCCAATATTAGCAACACTAGAGAAGTGTTAACCAAGTTTACTGTCCGCTTTTTCGTTAGTATCTACTCTTGCTCCAACTGTCTAGCCTCTCATACGCAAGGAAGAAAGAAAACCGTCAAAAGTTACCAAAGTTAACGCATGCGCATTTATTTAGATCAAACTCTGTGTCTAATCATCCACTTATGCTTTTGAAAACACACATCTCCATTATTTTTCTTGCTTGAAGTATTTTCATTCTATGGTTATTGTTTAGTGTCATCTGCGTTTTTATATTGAAATGTAGTTGCTGTCTTTCCTAAGAAGGTCTACAGATTTAATGTACAGTTTAGAGTAGGAACTAAACTGTGATGCGAAAGATCTTTAATCCAAGTGGGAAGAATTTTTAAGTTTTTTAATTTGGCAGTGCGTTTTTGTTTACTTGTTCTGTTTGGGATTGTCATCTCATGAACACAGATGAAGGTTCTGCTTTAATAGTAATCTATTTTTTCTCATTTTGTTTTGACATTATTTTTCAATATGATCTTAATAAAATGGGTCTCATTATTGTATTATTATAAAAGAAAGAAGTTTTTTTTTTTTTGTGTAAAATGTGTATTAATAGATAGTGGGAACTTGGCTATTTTTAACCTGGAATATTAGTGAACTTAATACTACTTTATCGCAAAACGTTCACATATTTTTTTATTTCTTTGACGTTTCAGAGTGAAAAAAATTGCTTTCATATTTTTTTCCTGTTTTGAATAAGAGGGCGACATTATTAAAATCTGATTAAATATTTAATTTTACGCATCGCTTACTTAATTATATATTGTTCTAGATTGATTACACTCCGACACATTTTGAACGCGTTTCTCTTGTTTTATAAGATTTAATGTGATTTGCTATCGTTTTCGTTAAAAAAGTACTGCAGAAGTCCTATCAGTTTTTTTTTTTATTTTTTTTTTTTTATCATGCTTATATTTGTAGTTTCAGGTTTTGTTTCCTGTTTCTAATAACTTATTGTGGATAGTGTTGGTGTTTTAAATAATTTTTAATTTTAAGTTTGCCATTTTTTATAATTGTTTTTAATTCAAAATTAAGAGAAAGTGAGGTTTTGGTTTTAACTGTGTTTAAATGTTACAGATTTTATTCAAAATATTCTACTTTTTTCGTGATAATAAAATGTTTACATTTTGCTCTTTAACACTTTTTAATTGAACTGTTTTTTTATTTATGCATATTTTTTTTGAAAGTAAGTAATTGAGAAGTATCTTAGGAATGTTCTTGAAGTCATTTGTTGTATGTTGAGTGATAAATCAGAAATTTTCCAATTTTCAATGAATATGTTTAATTTTGTATTGAAATATATTATTAATGATTGGAAAATATTGATTTTAATAAAAATAGCACTATATTTTGTTTGAGAAATGGGCAGTTAACTAGTCTTAGATATAAATTATTTTAATTTTCAAATTGCCATGTAGCTTTTGAGCATATTTTAACTTTCTTGTGATGAGTTATTATGAATCATCATATTTTTATGTGATGAGTTGAACTTTTTTTCTTAATTCAAGTAAATTAAATCTCATTTATTCAGATTTTTATTTCAGTTTGAAGTGCTGTAATTTTTAATGATACTATTTGTTAACGGATTATAATTAATAATTTGTTAACGGAAGATAAAGTTTTAAATGCTACCAAATTCCCTATCAGTTTATTTACTATATGTTTTGCAATACATTGATGTACTTGGGCAGTTTCTTTCATAGAATAAAATCGAGCTTTGTTTTATATTCGTTGGTTAGTAAAACAGTAATTTTTATATATATTTTATCAGTTAATGATAAATCAATTGTTAAAATGTTATTCACGATGAGTCTATTAAAACATAAAGACTTCTGTGGTAAAGGGCAAAATCACCCACCTATTTGTTTGGTGCTTTTTACAAGAGTAAGAAGAATTGGATTTTTGTCAATTTTCTTTGACTTTTTAAGTGAAAATAGGTCGATGTGTACATGGATAAAGTCAAGTGAGTGTGCAATGCCATTTTTGTGCAATTCTGGGATTTTTTTTAAGTGAAAATAGGTCGATGTGTACATAGATACCGAGTATGTGCAATTCTTAAAAACGGGCCAAGCAATGGGGGATTCTGCCCTTTCCCCGACTTTTGTTTAAAAGCTGATGCTGATTTGAATTTTATAGCGTAAGAACAGAAAATTTTTGAAGTATCAATCTGTTTTGAACAGATTTGTTATTTGAATACATAACAACATAAAATTGCTCGTATTATGTCTTTATATGTGATGCTTACAGGCTTTCTGTATAGGTCTTAGCAAGACCCACTTAGTTTGTTATCATCTTAATTTTCTTTTATTTTAATTACAGATTTTCATTACAGATTTCTAAAATATATAAAATTGTTAATCTTTAACTTGCAGGCCCAGCCCGTATGTTTTTTGTATATTTAGGACTAATAGCAGACCGCTATTTATTTTTGTTTTTATTTTTATTTTAATTTTGATTTTGATTTTAGTCAAGATTTGAGATGTTTCAGTGTAGTTTAACATATTTTAACACCTTAATGTGTCATTTTGTGCGGACGCGCCGGGAAATTGGAACAGAGAATTGAGACTATTAAAATTTTTCAAGACACTTTGTCTAAATTTAAAAAATTTTTGTAGCGAAAAAGTTTCAAATGTCTGTTTCGGCGAACGCGTAATGGGGTTAGCTTGATTCGACGTTCAAACAAATTAAATTTCCCTTGAAAAGCCGTTGGAAGTCGAATTGGGCTAATTTACCATTTTTCCCCGTTACTTTTTTTTTATCTGATTCTGTTTTTTTAATGTTTTACATGTTTAATGGTTTGATTTTCATATGTATTAATTTTTAAAACATGTTGAACTTTTTGGAGCAACAGCTCCTGGTAACTTTTAGGCGAGCTTACTACAATTTTTATATTTTATATAATTTCAATGTATGTCCTTGAAACACAAGTAATTTTTTTTGGTTGCTCTTGTATTATTACATTCAATGTGGAAAGAAGATTAAGAATTGTATCCTTGATTTATTTTTGCCATTTAGCAATTTATTTTTAACAGTTGATTTAGAAATGTTTAAATTTTCCAGATTATGTACTGTTGCAGATAATAAGAATTCGTAAATGTTGTGAAGCTATGTGCTATCTGTCCTCACTGTTCTCCACATGATATGCTCTTTTTTGTATTTCTCCAGAAATTTTATTTTGCTCTGATGATTTGTGATAATAATTTTTCTATCATTTCACAATAAACGGCTATAACTTTTTTTTAGAGGGTCTGAACAATCTACAGTCTGGTGGTAAAAGTATAGTTTAGGGTACCCCTCGGCGATTTTTGGCGGTACATGGATACCGATTTTGTGCAATTCTTTGACTCGTTATTTTGGCTTGCAAAGCGGCGATTTTTGCACCAGAAATCGCCGCTACACAAAGAACGCTGGTAGTTCGGTCCGATGTTCGAATTCTGCGAATGGGCTGGCTGCATGGGCGTTTTCGTGGTTTTCCCCATGTGTAACGTGTATACGAGCTAGTTTTCCTTAGAAAGTCCTCCATGAAGGCATCCCTCCCCTTAGGCAGATAGCCCTAGTGTGCTTTGCCATAATTAAATACACCACCACTTACTTAAGAAAAATCCCCAAGTTGCACAAAAATGGCATTGAGCACTCTTTTAACTTTATCCATGTACACGTCGACCTATTTGCAAACTTGCATGTACACATTGATATATTTTCACTTAAAAAGTCAAAGGAACACCTAATTTTACAATATAGGCAAACAAAAAATACATAATCTCAAAATATACATTTTAAATCAAACAATAAAATAACATAAAAAAATGAAAAGCATGTTATACATTTAAGCACTACCAAAAGCAAATATTCACTTACCATGATTTTCGAGTTCGCGTCATACACCCAGAGCCTCGTACACCCAGAGCCACGTAAAAATCACAATATCAATCATACTCAAATTACTCTTTCAAACCAGGTACTCTTTCTGATTGAACGCTTCACATAGTGACCCTCTGAACCTTTCTTCCTGCAAACCCATTCAAATCCATCTAAACGTTTTTAACACACACCACAAAAACGCTAACAAAACATCTCATGATTCAAAATTTCCCAGAATCATGCACCTGATTATGTCACAATAGGGTTTCCATAACATTCAACTACTCAGGCTACCATAAATGAAACAACAACTTGGGATAAATCAAACAACTTCACCATAATACTAGGGGTACTTTAAAGTCTACTCTGCCCCAGTCTGGTTAATCGAGTGTTGACTGTAATTATTAATTTTTATGGGGAAAGTTCTTGAGCATTTTCAGGCTTTCAAATAAATCTATATCAAATCGTACAAAACTGCTTTTACAATTTAATGTAATGCTAAAAGAAATAATAATATGGTAAATGACTGTTTATTTAAATAGAAATAATACATGTGCAGCATAGTTTCAACCTCCAAAATTGAAACTACTGACATTTGCAGATATTGTGGTCTTGAACCGGAATTGCATGCGAGCTGGACTGTGCAGTCTGACAGCATCTGCTGGGCCTGATTCTTTTTTTTTTTTTTGGCAAACTAAGAATTTATTTTTAATAAATAAAAGAAAAAAAAATGTCAAAGTAATCATTTTCTAAAACTTAAATTTTACTTACTAAATATTTATCAAAACACACCTAGCAATATTAATACAAAAAAGAATAAATACAAAATAAAATGTGTTAGAGTAGACTGATGGATACCCTTGTATTATCGTGAAGTTGCTGTTTCATTTATCACCAAGTTGTTTTGTTTATTGCAAAGCTGTTTCATTTATGGTAAAACCTGAGTAGTTGAATGTTCCGTAAATATACTTTTACCTAAAATTGGGTGTTTCTTTGACTATTTAAGTGAAAATATATTGATGTGTACATGGACAATGTCAAGGAAGTGTGCAATGCCAAGTTTGTGCAATTCTCTAAATTTTTTTTTAAATGGGCAAATGTGTGCATGGATACCGAGTTTGTTAAATTTTTTGACTTGTTATTTTGTGTTTGTGTAGCAGCGATTTTTGGCAAATCGCCGCTACACAAAGACGGCAACACAAAATAACAAGTCAAAGAATTGCACAAACTATGTATCCATGTGCCGCCAATTATTTTGTGTTTGTGTAGCAGCGATTTTTGGCAAATCGCCGCTACACAAAGACGGAAACACAAAATAACAAGTCAAAGAATTGCACAAACTATGTATCCATGTGCCGCCAATTTTCGCCAAGGCCTACCAGTAAATATACTTTTACTGTAAAATGCAATTCAAAACTTAATTCAGTTGTGTGCCAATAGCAGCAACATGTGGTGGTAAAAGTGCAAAATATGTAATACATTTAAAATTCATCCCATATTCAGTTTGGAATAAACACGTGCAAATAGGGAAAAAAAAAAAAAAAGAGGGAGAAAATGTATTAGAACC